AGGCCATTTTGATTGTTTAACTTTTAAGACTTTATATACAATAAAAGTTTATGTATCAACTTAACATTATACACACGGGTGTATCTCGACCTAAAGAAAGTTTCCAACGGGACAAATCCGAGATTATAAGCGTATTAATGAAAGCGCAACTGCATGCTATAGGAGCATTGCATTCGTGTATAATAATCGCGCGAAAATGCGACAAGCCCGATATTCAAACGAGATGTCGGATTAAAATATATACTCGCCCGTAAAACGCGATAGCGTATCGCGAGACGTGGTATAAAGTCTTTATATAATATTCTTTGTATTAAAACGTAACGCAGAATATGTATTAATAATAATTTATCAGATTTCGAATGAGATAGCCTTAAGTTCTCATTCTAGTTCACGTTCATTGGTCAATTCATGAAATGTCACATATTCTGACGTCACGATACGCGAAATGGCGGATACCAAGTTCAATCAGCCAATGAGAAGGCATTAAACCCGAGAGGTTTCATGAACTCGTATCGTTCGTACGCGAAACGCGTCTATATTATATAATATTCGTTTAATTAATATTTTTGAAGCGTGCTGAACCAAGCACAAGCCATTATTGAAGGACACGAGAGTCCTAGTAACTTCACGTAAACGTGAGATTCGCGTAAATCTATATTTCTCATTCTATTGGCTTGGTTCAGGGCGAGCATTATGTATTTTATTTTATGTTTATATGCGTGCGCAACGTCAAACTGTCATAATAATTGACTAATTAAAGAAAAACCTAGATTCTGGGGGATTCTGGTGGATTCATGTAAACGAGCAATTCGTGACCACGCCTCCAGGCATCTGCCGACTCGGCAACAGAGTGCCGATACGTTGACGCAAACATCGCGAAGCCAATCAGGCCTAACTAAGATTGTAACTGGCGCGAAATGTCGTCAGGTAACGAAAGTTGAATGTATGTCGACACCGACAAGCCGTGCGATTCGTCCACGTACTTGTTTATGAGGATAAATTGTCGCCGGGCAGAACTGCTCAGAACCGTAATGGGGATGATGAAGAAGACGAACGTACCGAATTCGAACAACGACCCATGGTCTTTCGTCTTTCGGACATCAAAGCGTAAAGTTCGCGTCTCTTGAACCGAAGCGAAGTCCCGCGTTCG